GACGGCCTGAGGGGGTGAGGCTTTGCCATCTGACACCCACTTCCTGCCCTGCCAACCTCCTCGGCTGGGCTCTGAGCTCTAAGACCCCTCTGAATCCTTTGTCTCATTCTTCTCATTCATTCTTTCCACACGCCAGGCAAGAGAGGGGCTGGAGGGAGAGGGACCCCAGAATGTGGAGGGCTGGAGGAAGAAGGAGCCCCCCAGCCCACGCCAACCTTCGGCTCTCCCTCCAGCTTCCTCTGCTGTCCCCACACCTGGCAGAGGCAGCCTGACCGCCCGGGGGCCGTGGGCCAGTGAGGCTGATACCTACATTCTTTGGACCCAGGGTAGCCTTTCTGGGGTGTGTTTTCCATATTCTGAGCTGGATTGTTTCCCCCAAAATCCATATGTCCAAGCCTGAATCCCCCCTGTGTACCTCATTTCTGACTGTGTTTGGAGATAAGGTCCTCAGAGAGCCGATTAAGACCTAAGGAGCTCACAGGTGGGCCTGAGGCAGAAACCACCCTGCGGCACCTTGATCGTGGACTTCTGGCCCCAGAACCCAGACAGGAAGCCAAGTCCCAGGCCCCGGCATGCCTCGCCTCGCCTCGCCGAGCTGCTCAGACGTGTGTTCTGTCCACACTCGGTGGGCGCCTGGCGCTGGCCCCGCACCTCTGTACCACATCCTGGTCATTTGCACATCTCAGACTTTCTCATTATTATCCTATGTGTGATGGTGACCGGTGGTCAGTGATCTTTGCTGCCATTGTTTTGGGGTACCAGGAAACACACCCACTTAATTGTGTGTGTGTTCTGACAGCTCTACAAACCAGCCACATGCCTGTGTGCCCCCCTCTTCTTGGGCCTCCCCGCTGTCTGAGACACAGCAGCCCTGGAATCTGCTCAGGAATAGCCCTACGGGGCCCCCAAGTGTTGAAGTGAAAGGAAGCGTCTCAGGCCTCTTGCTTTAAATCAAAAGCTGGAAATGATTAAGCTCTGTGGGGAAGGCAGGTTGGAAGCGGAGACGAGCTGAAAGCTAGCTCTCTCGTGCCAAACAGTGAGCCAGTTGTGGATGCAAAGGAAACACCTCGAAGGAAATTGAGAGCGCTCCCCCCAACCCCCGAACACACGGGTGATAAGAGAGCAAAGCAGCCTTATCGCTGATATGGACAAAGTTTGGCTCAGATAGAAGAGCGAGCCAGCCATGAGTTGCCTTAACCGAGGCCTCACCCGGAGTGAGCCCTGACTCTCCTCAATTAATTCTATGAAGGCTGAGAGGGGTGAGGAAGTGGCAGAAGAAAAACCATGAAGCAGGCAGAGTTGGGTTTGTGGGGTGTAAGGCCCGAAGCCACCTCCCTCACAAGAAAGTGCAAGTGCTGACGGAGACACTCAGAAATCCCGAGGCCAAGCTAAAGTCCGTGAGGAAGGTGGCTACACTGAACACGAGGTGCTCTGTGCAGATGAAAGCATTTCACGGGACGACACCATGTAGGACTTTCATAGCTGGAGAGGAGAAGTCAGTGTCTGGCTTCAAAGCTTCCAAGGACCCACTGACTATCCTGTTGGGGCTGATGCAGCTGGGGACTCAGCTGAAGTCCATGTGCATTTACGGCCCCATGACTCCAAGGGCCCTTAAGAACCATGCAGACCTCAGAGCCACACAGCCTGGCTGCACCTGTTTGCAGCTGGGTTTGCTGAATATTTTCAGCCCACTGTGGAGACTTGCTACTCAGGAAAGAAAATCCCTTTCAGAACATTAGTGTTCAGCCTCCCCGGTGGCACAACGGGGTAAGTCTCAGCATTAGGAAGCTGTTGGCAGCACTGCAGCACGAGTTTGATCCCCGGCCAGGGATGTGACCCACATGGCACAGCAGACCTCTCCTGTCTCCCGGCAGCAGTTTCCTTCAATCTATCTATTTTGCTCCCCACTCTGTCTCTGGTGAATTCTTTCACTGCCACACTTCTGGCCTGTACCCCAGTTCTTGTATGCATAAGTAAATAAATCTTAAAAAAAAAGAAAGAAACAAAATATCTGAGGTCATTGAGAATGCACAGGGCCACCAAGCGCTCAGGCGGAGATGCAGAAGTCTAATGCTGCCTTTCTCTCTGCTGACAACATCCTCTGTGCAGTCTTATTATTATTTTTTAAAGATTTATTTATTTATTCATACTGGGGTACAGGCCAGAGATGCGGAGGGTGAGAGGATTCACCAGGGACAGAGTGGGGAGCAGAACAGACAGATGGACGAAGTACACTGCTGAGGGAACAACGGGCGGGTCAGGAGAGGTCTGCTGCGCCATGTGGTCCCCTCCGGGGCAGGCGGGGATCAAACTCATGCGGAAGCGGCTTTAGAGTCTCAGTGCTGTGCTTTAACCCGCTGCACCACCAGGGAGGGCCCCAGTCTTATTATTTAAGAAGCACATGCCTTTGGGGTCTAGCTTAATGTCGAGTCCTCTGATGAATATGGGCAAGGTAGCTAAAACCTTCTGGAGCATTCGGACTCCTCAGTTGCCATTGAATGTTCATGATTCACAGGAGGTCAAAAACCAACATGAAAAGGGGTTTGGATGATGCTGCCTCAACCCTGACGGGCGAGCTGCTAGACTTCAGCAGAGGAAGTAGCTGCAGAAGTGGCAGAAACTGTGAGAACCCAGAATGAGAAACGCGGCCTGAGGCCGGGCCGCAGCTGCTGTCTTGCGAGGAGACTGAACAGATGATACAGCTGCTCATGGGGGGACAGGGAAGTGGGTGCCTGGGATAGAGCCGCCCGGCGTGAAGATGCTGAGTCATGGGGGGACAGGGAAGTGGGTGCCTGGGATAGAGCCGCCCGGCGTGAAGATGCTGAGCCGCGCTGCCATGACAACAAGGGGTTTAGAAGAGGCCAAGGTGAGTCAGAGGAGCCATGAAGGGGTTGAGAAGATTGAGCCCAACTTAGATTGTTTAAAAAAATGTATTTAAACGTAGAACTGGGGTTCAGGCCAGAGGTGCGGGGAGTGAGAGCATTCACCCGAGAGAGTGAGGAGCAGAACAGGTGGATTTACCGAAATCCACTGCTGAGGGGAGCAGTGGGGAGACAGAAGTCTGCTGCACCAGGTCAGCTCTCTGGCTGGGGATCAAGCTCAGACCATGGTGGTCTGAGTGGGCCGCCAGGAGGCCCCTTGACTCCAATTTTGAAAGGAGTTTTTGCTGTGGGTCATGTGTTATCAAACAGCAGTGCATGCTCTGGAGAAGTCTGTGAAAGGCCAAGCACGACAGGCTTCTCGTTGCCTTGTGTTTAAAAACTGACACAACCTCCTGCCGCCATCAACAGTGGGACAAGACTTTCCACCAGCACAGAGGTCTGGCCCACTGAAGATCAGGTGGTGGCTCAGATTCTTAAATTAAGGTATTCACTTTTTTTTTAGACACAATACACTTAACCTACCGCTACAGCATAGTGTGAACATAACTGCTTTAGGCACTGAGGACCCAAAACATTTGTGTGACTTCAGGGTGATGGTCACTGTATTGAGACAGTCTGGAACCAAACATGCAGCGTTCCTATGTGTCATGACAGCCCAAGCAGGTGCATGTACTTGCCAGATAGTTCCTCGCGTCTTGCTTTTGCAGAGTTGTATTGAAAGAGGTCATGGCGTGTTGTTATCACTGATTTCACCTTCCACCCACCCAACACTTATGGAGCATCTGTGCTGTCCCAGCCCCTCAGGTAGACACTGGGGTGGGGGGCATGGAGGAACATGACAAGCTCGGTCACTGTCTTCAGGAGTCTACACTCCAGGGGAGGTGGCGGATAATCATGGGATACATAAAGCAATGAGACAGTGTGAAATGGGGATCCTGGAGGAAAGGGAAAGCAGGACAGTGGACAAGGGGACAGAGATATTTTAGATAGAGGGACCTGAGAAGGCATGAGGGGTCACTTGTGGGCTCCCAGTCTAGAGTCCAGAAATAGTCATTCTGATCTCTCTGCAGTTAGAATCTAGGCTGATCTCCAACTTTCACTGGTATAAATAGATTCCCGGGGAGGGGGAATGTATATTTGGAGTCTGTTTATCTACGTGGGATTAGCAGATCTAAAGGTGGGAGAATTTGTGCTGGTTTCACGTTGCTAAACAGCCATTAAGCGGATGGCCAAGAAGGTCAGGTCCACAGGCGGTAACAGGAGGCGGAGGGTGTAGCTGTAACACGCTCTGACCACTAGGCGGCAGCCATTCACCATTTGCTCCGGACATGCTTTTTCTCTGGGAATCGTTTTTCCAGCCGGTACCCCAGAGGCAGAAACCGCTTCCCATTGAATCCTCTTGTCTTTTATAGAATAACGGAAGGCCGTTCCCTCTCTTAAGATTTCATCAAAACAAACAAAACCACCACTACCAACAACAAAACGACAGGAAAACTCTCAGAAAAGCTGCTCTCAACTTCTGCTTCCTGACTATAATTATTACAAATTTTTGCTTCTTTCTCTGCTCATGTCACTCAGGGGCAGTCACTGTCCTGGGCTTCCTGTGGATTAATTCATTTAACCCGAACTATAGTTTTAGTAGGTGAGGACTACTCTTTCCTCCACCCCCATTCCTACTTCCTCCCCCCCTTCCCAACTGGAAGGGACCGTTGGAAAAAAAAACATTTATTTATTTTTAGTAAGAACATTTGACATGAGATCTACCTGCTTAAAAACAAACAAAAAAAGGTCACAAAGCAGTGTCGCCATCTATACACATGATGTCAGACAGCAGGCTTCTAGAACTTACTCATCTTGCTTAACTGAAACTTGAAGCTGCTTGACGCGCGGGTCCCCACCACCCCTTCCTCCAGCCCCTGACGCCCGGAGCCCCAGATGTCCGCGAGTCTGTGAACTTGACCGCTTCCGAGGGACGCGCCTCGGGCCAGTGCGCTCCCGCCCCAGTGCCGGGCTGAGACGGGTTTTGGGCCGCACGGAGCACAGGCCGAGACAGCGCCCCCTAGCGGGGGGTCCCCGGACGTGCGCCGGGGTGACCGGCTTGCTCCGGAGCCTCAGCTTTTACACTGCAGGAGCCAGGCCGATCCGATTGCTCCCCCGGTCGAACACCGAGAAGTACCTCCGCAGGAAGACGTCCCCTAGGACCCAGAACGGCGACTTGGAGAGGTCGGGGAGCGGCCTGAAGTTGCTGTAGCAGGCGGTCTGCGCCGCAGGCCCACCCTGGGGAGCAGCAGCAGTAGAGGAGACGTCAGCCCGGGCCCGCGTCCCCCCCCCCCCCCCCCCCCCGCGCCCCGCAGCGCCCCGAGCCCGCGGCTGCTCTGCTTCCCGCTCCTTCCCTTGAGCCCAGTGGCTGGGGCGCAGCTGCGGAAGAGGGGCGCGCACCAGGAGCCAGAACTGCCGGAGACCCCCATCCCGGGCTCGCTCCCTCTGGCCTGGTTCGCGCTGTCCCCTGCAGCGAACACCTTTCTGTTGGGGACCAAGCCCCCCCCCCCACCTTTCCTTGTCCCCTGTCACTCCCAGCCCTCGCTCTCCAGGACTGAGCCCACGCAGCCTTCCTGCCCAGGCTCGGCACCCCGTGCTCCCCTCGTGTCTACAGCCGGCTCTGGGTCTACTCCCCACGCCTCTCAGCACAAGGGTGCGGTGGGCGTGGAGCCCAGACACACCCCCTCCACCTCCCCCACCCGGGACCCCCGTGCCGCCTTGAGGTTGGGGGCTTGGATCTGCGCCAACCCTTCTCTTCCCCTGGGTCTCGGTCCCCTCCAGCCCCTGCGCGGTCACATCTATTCGGCCTCAGCTACTGCCAGGTGCCCTGTGGTCTCTGCATCTTTTATTCATTTGAGCATCTGGCCACCCCACCAGGGGAGGGGCTGGTACCCCATTTCACAGAGAGGGAACTGGGGCTTAGTAGGGGAAGTGGTAGCCTAGGTGCAGGGGTGACGTTAGGATTTATCATTCAAACCAGGGCGCTTTGGAAGTGGAAGGAGTCTTGCTAATAATTATGGTGGGACAACACACTGGACTGTGCCCAGCCAGCCCCCTCGGCCACTGGTCCTTCGGGCTGGCTCCGGGATTGCCCAGCTGAGTTCCAGCCTCACCAGCCCCGCATCTTGGTTCCACTGAAGCTCCTTGAGGACAGAGGCCCTCGGTGTCCCCTCTCTTATGCCCAGCACCGCGCTGCACGGGCGGTTGCTCCCTCTTAACTTGGAGATGATGGGCGCCCTTTGCTACCTGGAGTTTTGTTTTGTGGGAGGCACCCGCCCAGAAGTTGGGGCGAGGGTGGAGGCGAGGCGCCGCAGTGCCTGCACTGGCGTGACTTGGCCTCTAGATGGCAGCACCACCTTTCCTGCAGGTCTCACAGCTGAGGCCCCGCCCCGGGGTTGACCGCTCACCGCTGGGATCTGGTGCAGGTAGGCACTGGCGGCCAATGGGTAGTCGGCGCCGTTGATGGTGAAGACGATGTCAGGCAGGATATTCTTGGCCTCGCAGAGGACCAGGCCCTGTCAGGGGAGGGGAAGGAGAAGGTTGGCCAAGCGGATCCTCCCTTGAGGCAGGCGACCCCACGCGTGACCGCTTACCTTTTTACTGTTGTACTGCCCGCTGCCGAATCCGCGGATCCTCTCCTGGATGTTGAGGACGTCCGTGGCTGGGCCAGCCAACAGCGAGGTCCCGGTGTCCACGATGGCCTGGCAGCTCCCGTGACAAGCAACGACCTCCCCGTTCATGGAGATGCTGACGGGGGGTAAGCAGGCAGGCCTGTGGGTCAGTCTGCTACCTTCCTGGCCACGGGGGAGCGCCGGGGTCTCCAGAATAGCCCTCAGTTCACAGCCGGCCCCCGTTTCCCTTTGCTCTGGTTATGGCCTCCCTCCCAGTTCTTGCATGCGCTGGGGGTGTTTATGACTCCCTGGGCGGTGTCTGCGTGTGCGCATGAGTGTATTTGTGTGTGCGTGAGCCTGTTGTGTGTGTCTTGCATACACGTGTGCATGAGTATGTCTGTGTGTCCATGCTGTGCACACGCGTGTGCATGGAGCCCTGCTTGTGACAGCCCTTGGAGGAGGGACTCACCTGTCCATGGTTATCTGCCAGTAAAGGGGTCTGGACACCGGCACCCACTTGAGTTCCCCAGTGTAGTAGGTGGGGTCCACCCCTCCGAACATCACCATGCTGCCCTCCTTGCCTTTGCTGAGGGGGAGGAGGAAGAGGAGACTCATGAAGGGGGCGGGGGAGTCCCGGTGACGCGCCAGTTACTGTCTGGGGGCTGCGGCCGCTGTGGGCCAACCTCTCACAGCCTTCACACCTGTGCTTATTTCTCGTCGGCCCTCCTGACCTCCTCTGTACTGAGCAATCCCCAGAGCAGAAGCCGCACGGTAAGTATTTGTTGCATGAGTCATCGCCTTTGAGGCTTAGAGCGCTGGAGGCTTAGAGAGGACAACTAACTTGCTCCCACTCACCGCTAGACCTGGGATTTGAACCCAGGTCCCCCGAACCCATAGCCTCAGCCACGGAATCATGGGGTCCACCTCTGACTTTGGTGGGAAGACACGGTCTTCTGGGCTGCAGTCTCCCCTACCCCCTCTAGACTCCTGTGACCCCCATTCTTGGGGGGAAGCACCTGAGGGGTGAATCCCAGGGCTGCCAATTCTAGTACACAGGGTAACTGTGTGCAAAGCTCCTCTCTGAGCCTCCGTTTCCCCATCTATCAAATGAGGGAATTGGACTGCGGGGCTCAGCAAAACTGTCCCGCAAAGGGCCAGCTTATTGACACTTTAGCGCCGTGGACTGCAGGATCTTTCTGGCAACTATTCAAGGCTGCTGCAACAGAGCAAAAGTGGCCACAGACAAGCATGCATGAATGGACATGGTTGTGTGCCAATAAAACTTTATTTACAAAAGTAAGTGGTGGGCCAGATTTGGACCTCAGACCACAGTTTGTTGACTGAGCCCTGGACTAGACTATCTCTCTGGAAACTTCTGGATCATGTTGAGCTGGAGAAAGGGTTGTCCAGTGCGGACCTACCTGCTTAAGTAGAAGGCAAAGACTTCCTGAGAAAGGAGGCCTTGCTGCCACAGGTTGTCGAAGAAGGGAGTAGTTCCGTGGTGGGAGAGCCCAGGGAAGGCCAGGCCCAGGATGCCGTCGAAGGGTCCGTTTTTCATCACGTCAGCCTCCTTCAGGGTCAGGCCTAATGTCTGGTTCACGACAATAAGATTCCCGATCTGTGGAAGAGAAGGGTGTTCCCACATAAACCTGGTGGGGCCGGGCTGGATGGAAAGCTGTGCCCCCGCTGAGCCCCGAAGAGCGTTACGAGCCCATCAGGAATATGGGTGATGTTTGTTCACCTGCTCCAACTCTTGCTCACTTTGCCAACCTCATCTGCATGTGTCAAATCTCCCTGTTCCTTTTTTTTATAACAGCTGGGGAAACTGAGGCTCAGAGGGAGACTAAATCGCTCCTCCTTGAGGACAAAATGAGCAGAGAGCGGGATAGTCGTTTTGCTTCCTGCTAGTTTTGCTTCCTGCTAGAAAGAGAGGGTCCACCCGGGAAGACAGAAGCCCTTGACACAGCACCTGTCAGAGCTGGTGTGAAAATTCTGCCTGGGAAGCATGCTTTTGGGTACGGGGTGTGTGTGCTCAGGTGCTTTGGGGGACCAAGTCCATAGTTTTTATTAGATTCATAAGGGCCCAAAGGTCAGCCGCTACTCACTGGGGTCTGGCTTTCCCTACTTGACGGCCTGGAGGCCTGGCTGTCCGAGAGTCTATGCCTGCCCTCTCCTCGACCTGCCCCCAACTTATACAAGGTCCAACTCATTGCCACTGCTCACCAGGAATGTGCTCTTGGGCAGAACACTCACTCTCTGTGGCCACTGCGTGGGGCTGTGGCCCAGTGTAGACGTTACCATGGCTAAAGTGCCTGGCTCGGGCGCTGAGAATGCAGAGGGGAGGCTTTTCCTTGCCTCCCTACCTGCTCCCTCAGCCTGAGCTGTGACCACGGGGAAGGGGCTGGAGCCGCACCCCCCAGGCCCCCAGCACTGCGGCCAGGCTCTGGAAAGGATGGAACTCCTGGCTGGTCAGTGTGGTCAGGCCGGCCGCAGCCCCCCTCCGCCTCCCAGTCTCCCCGCTACCTGGACATTGTCAGAGGCCAGGAATCCGGACACCTCCCCGGAGCTGTAGAGGATGCGGAAAGTCTTGTAAGACGTCTGGAAGGTGGATGACGGCTCGGGGTTGAAGACCTGGTGATTAGCTGCAGGAGACACGGGCGGGGGTGAGCGCCCTTGGGGCCTGCCGAGGACCAGCAGTGGGTGCGGGATGCAGGAGAGGGACGGGCCACTCACTGCAGGCCAGGCTGCTGCAGTAGATGGACGGCACCCACAGTTCGGATGAGCCCGTGTCGAAGATGACCTTGAAGCTTTGCGGGGGGGTTCCAACGCTAATGTTGCCAACATAGGCCATCTGCAGGGTGGAGTTGGGGTGGTCGGTGCAGGCCTGGTTACCCAGGTCACCCCCTATTCCTGGGGTGCTTGCTTCCATCAGGGTGTCCCCAGGTCTCCTGAAATTACATTGCATCTGCCCCACGTTGCAGCCCCTGCGCAGGCCAGTGCCTCAGTCTCCCCTGAAGCTCTCTCAAGCCTTTCTACTCCTCAGAGCCCAGCTTCTTCCTCCAGGAAGCCCTCCTAGGTGACCCCAGGCCACTTCCTTTAAAAGCAAAACATGTCACAGCAGCTGTGTCACATCAGCACCTTTTATCAGACTACTTAGTCTTTGCCTGTCCCAGGCTGAGCAATGCTTTCTTGAAGAAGAGACAAGATCTCTTACTGTCAGTAACCGTAATGTTAGTTATTTTTATAGGTTCCTATACATAGGGGCTCAGTAACTTTTTTTAAAAGAGATTTATTTATTTACAGAACTGGGGTACGGGCCAGAGGGTTGGTGGGTGAGAGGATTCACCAGAGACAGAGTGGGGAGCAGAACAGGCAGATCTACTGAAACACACTGCTGAGGGGAGCAGCGGGCGGGTCAGGAGAGGTCTGCTGCACCCTGTGGGTCAGCTGCCCAGCCAGGGATCAAACTCATGCTGCAGCGGCTTGGGAGAGCTTCATAATGCAGTGCTTTAACCCGCTGCGCCACCAGGGAGAGCAGGTGCTCCGTAACTTTTAACGGAGTCATTCTAGGGGTTGCAGGGGCTGAACGCTCTCTGCCCATTGGCCTTGATTTTCACTTGACTTTGCACTGGACCAGATGTGGCTCAGCCTTCAACTAAAATCCGGGGACTCACTTAGCTCAGTGCAAACCCTTCAAGCCAACCACATGGCGCGCAGGTGCCTGGCGACATCTCGCTGGCACAGAAACGGGTGTTCGGTACCTGGCCTGGGGGCTGTGCCCCGAGCATTGGGAGTGAGGGTTCCTCCTTTAGGGGCTCAGCAGTCTTGGGGCCCTGGCCCAGAGCCTCTGCCGGGGAGGTCGCCATCCCAGTATCCTCTGCCGGCCTCCAGACCTCCCATGTTCAGCCAAATCCCTGGGGGGCGCTGGGGGGTATGGTCCCCTCCACACTCACGTCCTGGTAGTTCCTCAGGGGCGTGAAAGTCTTGTCCTCGTTCAGATATTGGCGGAGATACTCGTAGGCTGGCCTGTCCCCCTGCTTCCCGCTGTAGCCTTTCAACAAGTATTTTTCCCTGAGTTCTTCTGTCTCGGACTTGACCTGCCTCAGGGGGATCCTTTAAGGGAACAGTGGGAAAGGGAAAGAAGTAAGAGGCAGAAACCAGCTGCCAGGGCTGACAGGATGGGGCCGGGACAGGGCCCCTGGCCAGTGGTGTAATCTTGCGTGAGCCGTGTCACCACTCAGAACCTCAGTTTCCCCATCTGTAAAAAGGTGGAGTGATGACCCCTTGCCCCGGGGTCACACTCCCACATCGGGGGTCTTGATGGTGACGCTTTCTCTCTCGAGCACAGCTGCTCTGGGCACCTCACGGAAACTTTCTCAGAGAAACCCGGGGGGAGGGAGAGGGTAGAAATTCAGGGGGTTGTGACTTAGTTGCTGGCTCGCTGCTTGTTTGCGGTAAAGCTGGGCCTGAAAATGGCCTGTTCGCTTTCTTCCCAGGGTTCATCCAGATAGGAGGGGATGGTAGAGCCAGCCAGGATAGGACCTGCTCCGTCTCTGGTGAAGCCTCTCACCACCCCTGCACCTCTGGCCTGTACCCCAGCTCTGTATGCATAAATAAATCTTAAAAAAAAAAAAAAGAAACAAACAAGCAAACAAAAACCCCAGAGAGTTCTGCACACAGGGACATGCAGGGACACAGCAATGAGAGAGCTCCAGAGAGGAAGACGGAGTGGACAGAGCCGAGCTGGGACGTCCAGCGGCTGCACAGGCCGCACACGGACAAGTCCCAGGGGCTGCGGATGCAAGGGGCACCCCGGGACTTGGCCCCCAGCACCCGTGGCCGCCGCTGGGGAGGACAGTCAGGAGGGTGACTGCACGGCTGGCCCCGGCCAGAGAGGCCCCTCCCCACCTGGGGATGTGGGTCCGCTCACCTTCCCTGCTCCCAGAAGCTGCCTGAGGACACGTCTTTGGTCAGCTCTGCTCTTGAGACCACCCGGGCAGTGGACACGGTGAAAGCCCTCACAGAAGCTTAGGATGTGCTGGACGGGTTTGGGAAGCTGATTGCCTTGTGGCTAACACAAGTCCCGCAGCAAGCACCCTTGCGTATTAAAACCCCTCTCTACCAATGTGGAGTGTCTCTCACTCCCCCCCAATACCCGCCATGGACTGGGGCTGATTTCAGACGCCCCACAGTGCAATGGAAGGTCCTCACCAGAACTTTAAGCTGGGGAGTGATTACACTCCCCTCTATCCCTGATGCTAGGGAGAATAGGGAGCAAGAAAAAGCCCAGAAAGCCTCTGCCCGTCCCCCCCGTCCCCCACGGTCCGGCCCCCCTGCCCCAAGCTTACTTGACTAAGCATTCTGAGAGGGCCGCCAGCCAGAGGACCCCGAGACACTTCATGCTTCCTTCTGGACTCCGTGTCGTGTGGGTTCTGAGCCCGCAGCGCCCTGCCCTGTCCTTAAGTGCACCTCACCTGCCCTACCTGTCCCGCCTGGGGCTGCCCATGGCCTTGATAAGAAAGACAAATCCCTCTGATGGGATCTTTACCCTCCCACTTGGTGTTCTTGAGGAGGAGACTTGGAAAATTCTTGGAAAGCAGAGATGTCTGCTGCAATCTCTTCCTTGCGACTTGGTGAAAAAAAATCAAAGCCACATGGTGCCATAAAGCTGACACTGTGGAGATGAGGACCTGCTCATGACATGAGAAAAGCAAGGGCCAGGTGCCAGCTTGGCATTATGATCCCTGCGTTCTTCCCAGAGACCCCACGGCATGCACAGCCGTCCTTCACGGGGGAGACGCTAGGAGGAGAAGGAGTTAGAGGGGAGCGCGAAGAAGAGTGGCTTCGGGGGGCTTCAGTGGGACGATGCATGTAAGGGGCACCTATGTGCCACTCTGCTTCCTAGATCTAGGCAGAAGGAAGCCGGTCAGCTTCCACGGCCCGGGGGCAGGGAACCCCGGCTGTGACCCGCTTGGCAGCCTGGCGGCTCCTCCAGCCCCTCTTTTTCCATAGCACCGACCCTTGCAGACTGCACGGGCTGCGGAGCATTGAGAATGACGAGCAAGTTCTGGTCAGCCTCTGGCCGCTGCGATGGGGTGTCTTTCTGCATTTCGGGAAACACGCGAGGTCCAGCCAAGCCTGGATTCAAGGGGATTGATCCCTCTTCGATGTCGCCGAAAGAGCTTGGCACTTTGAAGTGGGGGGTGGGGTGGAGGGATGATGCTTTGTCACTCTGTGAGGACTTTGCTATAGGGTCTGAGCTGTCTTCTTCGGCTGTCAGCGTTACGCAGAGGCTGGCGTTGTGAATGCACCAGGCAGCTTTCTTCTCTCGGGTGCTGAGCAGGACGGAAATACGTTCTCTGAAAGCGTCCATAGAATCAGTTTGTAAAGCTGTCTGACCCTGGGCTTTTGTTGGGGGAAGATTTTTAATTAGTCTTTCAAGTTTCCATGCTAGTGATGGGGTTTATGCAATTCTTCTGCATCTTCTTGGTACAGACTATCGATGACGATTGACCTACGAACTTGTCCATTTCTTCAAGGTTACTGCATTAATAGATGAGTTTGGCAGGAGGGAAGGGCAGACCCCCAGTCAAAGGCTGGGCACCCCAGCTCTCGCTGAGTGTGAATGCCCGTCCTGGACTGCCTGGGCAGGCCCTGGTGCCACACCTGGTGGGCACCTTTAGAGGAGGCCTGGAGGAGCTGGATTCTGCTGGGCACTGGCCACCCCAGGGTCACACCGGGGGATTAGATGCCCAGACTAGTGTGCCAGAGCCTCTGCCGAGGAGGACGAGCAGATGGCGGGTTCGGGGTGATTGCTGGGGGCCCGCTGTGCCCCAGGACCTGTCACTGCTGGCGATAGCCCCACAGTCTCTGATCTTCCGGCCTCAGTGGGCACCAGAAGCTGCCCTCGTAATGGCCAAGGGAGGGCTCGCTGCTGTGACTCCAAGTGAAATCATGGCCAGGTCATGGCGGTGGCCGTGGCTGGGTCTGCCCTGGTGGACAGCGGTGGGTCCACTTGTGGACGAATGCCGGGGCCAGCAGCCACTGACTGAGCTTGGCCATCTTGGGCCTCTGCCACTGTTGCGTCTCCTGTCTGGAAGGTTCTTCTCCTGGCTCACTGCCAGGTGGCTGCTTCTCCGCATCCCGCTGTCACCAAATGTGAGGTCTGTCCTGGACACTCCACCTCTCAGGCCCTGAGCTCCTGCTCGAGGGCCCCCTCGCCCAGACATTGAGTGCCTTTTCCCACGTGATTTTCAGGGGGACCCTACGAGAGCGGGAGGTTCCCCACTGACAGGTGAGGACACTGAAGTTCGGATGTGACTAGTAACTTCCTCAAAGACATACGGGCTAGGGGGAGGAAAAGCCAAGGTGGGAACCGGCTGAGGGCTGCCCACCTGTGGCCAGTGCTGGGCTGGGGGAGGGGCCGGGGAGGGCGCAGAGGGGCGAGTGGGGAAGGACCCAGAAGGCAGATGTCTGTCTCTCGGAAGATATTTGTGCTTCCAGTGAACTCCTGCTGGCAGTGGTCTGGGCCCCGTGCTCGCGTGCCGAAGGGATGGTGTCAGACTGTCCTGGCACACGGGCGCCGGCTGGAGCACCGGGGCTGAAGTCCCTGCCGTGAGCCACTGGCCAGCAGCATCCCGGGAGCTCGCCTGGAGGTTGGGCCCGCCTCCCCCGCCAGGTCTTGGACGCTCTGCAGACCCCAACCAAGGATGCGAATAACCTGACCCAGCCGCACAGGCAGGCCTGCCGGAAGGTCATGAAGGTAATGGCCTTGGGGAAGGTGAGAAGCGCCTGGTCGCCTCAGGGAATGGGCGATTGCCTCCTGTCCACTCCCAGAAGCCGCCCACGGTTGTAATTTTAAGATAACATTCCAGGAGTTGTAAAGGGCAGCATCTCCACCTGCCTGAGTCCGCAGGTGTTTCTTTTTACACTTTTGCCTCTGCACAGCAGGAGCGCAGCCCTCCTGCCCACCCGAGACTCTGCAACAGCCTCTTTTTCTCCTTTTCCTAATAAACCAGTCATTTTATTTTTAAAAAAGATTTATTTATTTATGCATACAGGACTGGGGTACAGGCCAGAGGTGCAGGGGCAATGAGAAGTTTCACCAGAGACAGAGTGGGGAGCAGAACAGGCATATGGACAAGGACACTGCTGAGGGGAGCAGCGGCGGGTCAGGAGAGGTCCTCCGTGCCATGTGGGTCACCTCTGGGGCAGGCGGGGATCGAACTCACCCTGAAGCGGCTGCGGCTGCGGCTGGCTTGCAGCGCTGCCCCCTAACCCGGGGTTCAGAGGGAGCAGCTCCTGTACAGTGTAATGCAATGATTCCAGGGACCATCTGTTTCAGTCACTTGACTTTGCAAATGGGGACTGAGACCCAGAGAGCAGAAGGGACGTGGCCAAGGTCACCCTGGACCAAGTTATTTAGTTTAAAGCAGAGATCAACACTGTCTGCATCAGAAAGCCCCGAGTTTAGGTCCCGAGTAGTCTCTCCCTGGCTGTGATCTCGTCTCTGGATGGTTCTGGAATGAGTGCCGTTGGTGTGCCTCCGGGCCTGGGCTGGACAGGGCTCTCTGGCCTCCAGCTCTGCCCTGGAGCAGAGCTTGTCCTTATGTCCGTCCGATGGCCCGGGGCAGGGGGGTTGTTTGACCTCCATGCCAGGGAAGACTCTAGGGTGGGCGCAGCAGGTGACACCAGGCTTGCAGGTCCTGGAGGCGCAAACCAGAGATGGAGCCTGGTCTGTGTTGGCTGGATCCTTTACCGACAGTCACACCACTGGCTGCATCTTGGTAGGAAAAAATTGTGTGTGCATGTGTGGGTGCACGTGGACTTACACGGACTTAAAAACGGGGGGTGAGACCCCCGCTCTCGGCCTCGCAGGGGTCTCAGAGAAGTGAGGCACAGCTACAGCTAAGACACTGTGCAGAGAACATGTCTAGGCGCGCTAGGAACACTTGGGGGCGCTGTCAGGTCAGGCTCCCCAGAGGCAACCTGAGGGAAGCTTCATGTCTAAGTGATTTATTCCACTTAGAGTGTGTGAGTGTGTATGTGGAGCGTGCGTGTGCACGCAGGCCCCAGTCCCTGACACGCACCCCTTCTCCAGCTGGCGGCTCCTCCCCAGTCCGTCAGGAATGGCATTTCTCTGCCACTGTGTTCTTGCAGTTTGAGACTGGCAGGGCTCTTTGTAGAACTGGCAGGACGCTGGAGAGGGAAGAGCAGGCGAGGATGCTGCCATTACCCAAGGTGGTGTTTCCCTCCGCTTTGGGGTGACTTTGCTTCTCATGGCTCCTATGACTCCCCCTCGTGAATGAAATACAATTGCCCACCAGTACCCGGTGGCCTAACTTAGAGCACGGCTGAGGGGTGCCTTTCTCCCTGGCCTTGGGTTAGGGTGCTGTTGAGGATGACTTAACAGCCAGGTTCCTCCCTAGGACCCGCAGGGCACCCCATCCCCCTCCCTGCCCTGTCTTGCTTTCTCGCCCCTTCTCATGGAATAAATCACTTAGACATGAAGCTTCCCTCAGGTTGCTTCTGGGGAGCCTGACCTGACAGCGCCCCCAAGTGTTCCTAGTGCGCCTAGACATGTTCTTTGCTGCGTGGCTTAGCTGTGGGGGTGGCTCCCTTCTCTGAGACCCCTGTGAGGCCGGAGTTCTGAGAGTGGGGGGTCTCTCCCTGGCTTGTTAGTCCCTGTAAGCAGATCCATCGCTCTGGTTCCCGATGCAAGGCCATCACCCCGGAAAGTCCTCTGCAGGGGCAGGAGCCCGCTCATTACCGTTGCCAGGGTGGGGGGCAGAGGGGCATTGTTCTTGATGCCAGGGAAGGTGGTATGTGATGGACTGACTCTGATTCCTAAAGACTTCTACCTGGAAGGGCCACGCCTCACCTCTGCTCACTTTCCACTGGCCAAAGTCAATCTTGCAGCCTTGGCAAACCTGGGGACGGGGCCTTTAGGGGCAGAGGGCAGGGGGAGCCCTCTGTATTTATGACTCCCATGCATGAGCCTCGCTCAGCCCCTTCCTATGCTTTACTCAGTTTCTTCACCCCCCACCCCCATCTCAGCCGCTTTGACCCAAAGAGACAGAGTCAGATGAGATTATGTGAGGGGGCATCCTGGCCTGTTTATAAGTAGGGAAACCATGCCACAAAAACTACCCCCAAACTCCACACAACCTGGCTGAGCAGCGACTCCCCTGTTCCAGGTCTCAGGGCAGGTATTCGGTGAACACAGGAGGAATGAATGAGGGAGAGAAGAGAATAAAGCGACCCTCACTCTCATCAGCACCACTGTGGATGTGAGTGGAGGCATGGTATTTGGAGACTGGGTGCAAAAGATAGAAGACCAGGGGTGAGGGAAAGTGGATAGAACCAAGAGGGGAAAGTGGGAGACAGGGGAGAAAGAACACC